TGAAGTTGGGGCTGTTATGTCCATTTTACAGATGAGGACACTGTGCCTTACAGAGATTAGAGGTATTTCCCTAAACTTACTCTGCACTGCTAGATTGGATGCTGTTAGGATCTGTACTCCTGTCCTGTGGTAAATGGACGACCGCCTTCTCCAGGACTACTTTAATTTCTGGTCTGAAAGAAAGGTTAAGTGCCTAACGGACAAATCAGCAGTTGAAATAATTTTTTTTCACGTTCTTTTTTTCTCTGAGACCTGGGCATCTGATCTGGAATATGCACATAGTTTCCATTCTTGTCATATGTCTTAGTCTTGTTTGTAATTCGGTTTCCTCATCTGTAAAATGGGTATAAAAATAATACTGTATTTCATAACTGGGAAGATTAAATAAGATTGCACTGAAAAGCAACTTGGGTTTGATTCTGGCACATAGTAAGTGATCAATAAATGTTAATTATTACTACAAGGGAAAGAAAAGTTAGGGAAGTATAATGAGGTTCCAAACTCCATCATGCTCAGAAGGATGGAGAGACAGCACAGGAGAGGAAGATCCCAGATGAGATGGATCGACACAGTAACTGGCGCGATGTGGGTAGGTGTGTCAGAGTCAGGGAGACTGGCTCAGGACAGGGCAGGCTTCAGAGCTGCTGTACATATATGGTCCCTATGGATCGCAGGTGATTCAGTGGCACATAACAATGATTGCCCAGAGCTGACACACATGAGTAGGTTATTTTTAAATTTACCCCCAGCTTACCAAGAGGGTCCAACACTGTTCTAAGGTTCAAAATCCTGAAGTCTGCAACTAGGGAGGACCAGGATGGTTTCTGCTTTGGGAACCTCTGTGATATTCCAGAAGAAAGCAGTGATTACACCTGATTGACCCTCACCTCTTGCTTTCCTATGATGTGTTTTCAAGTCCTTGGAATGAGATGCTCTCTCCTGAAGAGAGCAAGGATAGGAGGAGGATGAAAAGAAGAGGAAGCTGTTCAAACTTGTCCTGAACTTGAACCACAATGACATAAGCATGTAGATTAATTTTGTCTTATCTTTTACATGTTGCATTTTTCCTGAATTGGTTAACTTAAATGAATCAGCAAGTATTTCTCCCTTTATTCTTTCTCCTCCTGTATACTTTCCTCTCTCTATCCTCCTTTCTTTCAGAAATAAGCAAGCATATTGGCCCACAAAGTCTTTTACATTTCTGATGAAAGCGTTAATTCCTCTTTTAAGATAAAAATGCAAACATCCTTATGAAACCCGGCTTTTCTAGACAACTGAAAGGGTTCCATGTGGATAGTGGATTAAAAAATCATCCTGGTTGCCCTAAATGCCTCCATTGGCATATGAACCCTGAGCCAGAACCCATGGAGACCCTAATAATCTGAAGACAAGACCTTTTCATTTGCTCCCAAACATGTTTGGCTCTAGTGATTCCAGAACTCCAAACTGTTTCCAGTTCTGAGTGTGACAGCCATTAACCTCAAGGGCCTCAGGAAGCAAAGCTAATGTTAATCTGGTGCAGAAAATTCAGTCTTAAAAACCAGGATGTTTGTTTCTGACTAGAAACTTAAATTATGCTCATGCTAGTCAAGGTTATAGAGAACTAAATTGTAGTGGTGATTACTCTTCCAATTTGTGTGTATTTCATTATCTCTGGTCTGCAACTTTCAATTCCCTCTCTTCTTGCTTTTTTTTACATTTTTCAAAGTGCAGTTAAATGGTTCCAGCTCTTGGGATGGTCACCAGTTCTTAAAATGTACTGCCTCAGAGGTGTAAGTGGAGGCCTGTTAACCAAATCCTAAGGAAAAGAAGGAAATTACCACTCCCAAAAGAACAAGTGGGGCCGAGAAGACTCTGAACCTAACTCTACATAGGAGGCCCAAGGCAGCTTTATACATGGTATTTGTTGTATTGCTTACTTGACATGAGTTCCACTGATTAAAAAGCAGAACAGAAATTGTACAAATAGCTAGTCTGCTAAACTAAGGTGGTTTGAATCCACCAGCTCCTCCCTGGGAGAAGGCAAAGCTGTCTCCTTCCGTAAAAGCTGAGTCCCAGAAGCCTGGTGGAGAGTCACTGTAAGTCAGAAGCAACCCCACTGCAGTGGGTTTGATTTATAGGCCTTTAGCTGTGATAGCTTAGTGGCTAAGAAATTAGGCAGTCAGCTCAAAGGCAGGCAGTTTGAATCCACCAACTGCTTTTCAGGAGAAAGACAGGCAATCTCCTCCTCAATGATTAACTTACTGCCTCTAGAGGGTCATTTAAGAGTCAGATTGAATTAAAGGACATATAACAATATGGTCCAGTAAGACATTTTTATTTGATTTAAAGACTTACTTTTTACCCTAAACAGTGATCATCAGTAGCCTCAGTTGAATATATGTCTGATGTTTTAATGTCCTGGGCTCCTTCCTGCCTTTATTTCTAATTTGCTATCAGGTAACCTCTTTACCTTTAAGCCAGACCTGATATCAGTGCCATTGTTTTCCCCAGAAACTTAAGGAATTTTGTGCCAGTTGTAACACCTTGTGAAATCTGTGTTTATTCATCAACAAAGCATGTAGTTTCACTTCCTCTATGATTCTGATGTCCACCTCCCTCCTCTGTACTTCCACAGGCCCCAGCCCATGTCTGGTCCTCTTCAACTCTTCCTGAGATGACTGTAAAGTCTCTGGGTGGTACAAACAGTTAAATATTCAATTACCAACTAATACTTAGTGGGAGTTGGAACCCACCTAGGGGTACGTAGAAGGGAGCCCTGGAGACCCGCTTCCAAGAGGCTACAGCCTTGAGAACCCTGGGGTGCAGTTCTGCTCCCCACAGAAGGGGTTTCAGTGAGGCCCAAGCAACTGAATGGCAACAAGTTTGGTTTGATTTGGAGATTATTGCAGCTGCATCAGTTCCTGCTACTTTTTAAATTTGGAACTCTTCAGGGGGTCCCTTCTAACAGCTGGCATTTCAAAACCACAAGAGCTGGTCTCTGCCTATGTCTTTTTGTGGTTATTACAGGCTTTTTTCCTTTTTTGTACATTTTCTTCTCCCCTCCCCTAGCCCAACTAGCAATGCATCCCTTGTTCCAGATTATTGTCATATATATCATATGTATCTATTTCTTTCAGACACTTCTCTTCATCTGTTCTACTGCAGTGTCTGCCTACATTTTTCGTGAATGCTAAGTAACTCCCAGTTTTCCACATCAATTAGACCATATCATTGCCTCTCTTAAAATCCTCCCTAGTTGCTTATTGCACCTAGTTTAAAATAGAGCAAAAACATGCAAAACCAAACTGCAAAACATAAAGTGCCCTTTTTTCCTGGTTTATAGAATCTGGATTGATTTGTGCTCTGACTTGTTCCCAGCCTCAGTTCATCTTATACCCTCTTTTCCATCACTTCTTGTACTCTAACCACACCAAGGGTATCATGTCCTTGGAGCACTTCACTCCTCCTGTCCACATTATTGTCACTGCAATAATGTTTTCTTCTGTTTTTATGTTCTTCTGCTTGCTTCTTATATGCCTGGTACCTTCTGGTCATTTATCTCTCAACTTACATGACACCTCCTTAGATAGTTGTCCTGACCTCCCTGTTCTAATGTAACTACTCCCTACACACACACACACACACACACACACACACACACACATAAAACCAAAGCACATGGACTGAGGGATACTGACAGGACATGAGACTAGGTAAACACACTCACTCACTGCTGTCGAGTTGGAAACAGCTCATTTTCCACTTTCCAGGGTTTTTCAAAGGCTATAAATCACATGGGAGGAGAGCGCTCTTCCCTCTCCCACAAGATGCACAGAAGGAATGCCTTATCATAAAGGGTCTTGAACGTATTGATCATTTGAAGTGTTTGTAAGTATCATTCAGGGAGTAAGAAAAGCTAGAAGATTTTAAGTAGTGAAGCAATCTAATAAAATTTCTATATTAGGAATATCACTCTAACTGCATTATGAATACAGGACTGGAGACTGGTGATTCTAGAGGAAGAGATCAATTAGAAGATGACTGACATGGTCCAGGGAAGAAGTGATGGTATCTGAATTTAAGCTGTGGCAGTGAAGTAGAAATGTAGAGAATGGAAGGTTATCTAGTTAGAATGTAGTTAATGGGATTTAGTGGTAGATTGATAGGAAAGGTTATTGCAAGAGAGATCCTCGTTTTCTTCCTGATTCCACTTAATGGAGCATTTCAAGGTGTTCCAATACTGCTGTATGTTCATAGGGATGTGCTGTTAGTTGCTGTTGAAGCAGCTCTAACTCAAAGCTAATAGAACAAACATGGCCTGGTTTGGTGCTAGCTTTACAACTGTTGGCATGCTCAAGTTCACAGTTGAAGCCACTGTGTGTTTTAAGTGACTTCCAACCTAGGGTTTCATCTTCCAGCACTATATCACACAATCTTCTGCTGTAAACCTTAAGGTTTTCTTTGGTTAATTTTTGCAAGTACATTAAAAAGTCTTTATTCCTAGTCTAAGTCTGAAAGTTCTTAAAACTGTCCACCTTTAGTGATCCTGTGGGTATTTGAAATACTAGTTATGTTTTTAGCATCTTAACAACATTTCAAGTCACCAGAGTTTGATAAACTAGCTGAAATGTTGTGCAGTAAGACTATATACAATCCTCATATGAATTCTCTTTGGTGTCAGAACCTTTCAGAGAGTCACTTCCAGTCCAGAGGGCTTGATTAAAATTTGCCCACTCTCCTCCCTCCAATCAAGAACTGCTTCTATTTGATACCCCTCAATACTGAAACACATTACCTATGGTCATAGACCTTCACTTCCCTACTTCCCTTCACGTGCCACCTACATGGAGTTAAGAGAGTAGGTCCTGACACTTGGGGATGAGCCATCACATTCCTTATCTTTCTCATTCAAATAGAACAACACAAAACACTAATATTGCTGCAAAAGCTTTTTAAGCTTTTATACCTAATTATGATATGTATTTTGGCTTAAATATAATATGAGCTCTGGCGGCCTAATGGTAAGGAACTGTGCTGCCCGCCCAAAGGTAAGTCGTTCAAATCTGCCAACTGCTCCACAGGAGAAACACAGACAGGCTTCTACCATGTAATTTACTGCCTCTGAAAACCGGCAAGAGGGTCAGCCTTGAGTCCGTTCTGACTCAGTGGCATGCAACACTAACTAGAACTATAAAATGCAATTATCACATTTTCCAACCTTTTCCCACTTAGTACACTTACATCTTACTTTTAGATAACTTTGCCACAATAATTCATATATATATATGCATATGCATAGTTTTTGGAATATGGCCTACTCATTATTTCTCATCGTTACAGAGTGGATCGACTCATAGCCAATCCTCCATTGAGTTTCCCAGGCTGTAGATTGCAATGGAGATTGCCCGTCCCTATGTGGTCTATTCTTGCTCTTGTATTGGTATGGAGTTGGAACAGACTCATAGCTGACCCTCCAGCCGGTTAGGGGGCTGTAAATCACATGGGAAAGATTACTTTCTTTCTTCTGTGATGCTGTTGGTGGATTTAAACCTACCACTTTAGGTTCATAGAGCATCTCCCTATGGACTATGCCACCAGAACTCCCAATGTGGTCTAAAAAGGTTGGGAATTCAAACCTAAGCGAATTATAGCTCATGCCCTTGAGAACTCTGTGCCAGTGGCTTCCTCCAGTTACATACTTCTGTGGTTGCTTTGCATTTGAAGTGTGAGGTACAAGTCTAGGAGGCAAGTCTGGAAAGGAGATGTATATTGGGAGTGATGGGCAAACAAATGAGAGATCCCCAGAAAACAGTAAAGGGAGAAGGGACAATCCTCTGCGGTAACCCCACCTCTGCAAGTGAAAGCAGAGGGTTGCGCTAGATCCAGAGGAAGACTCACAGGGAAAACAAAAAAAGTCAGGGGAAAATCATTATTAGAGTCAAGGGAAGCATTTTAAGCAAAAGGAAGTTGTCAGCAGTATTTATCGCTGCAGAAAGGTCAAGGAGGAGTGGGAAGTCATCACTGGATTCTGTAATTAAGATATCAGTGATAAATGTAGCAGAAGCAGTTTGGTAGAATGGAAGGGCAGCAGGCTAGAGAGTAAAGAGGAAATGAAGACAGTTTAACTACAGAACTCACAGAAGGACAAGGGGTAAGGGAAGGACATCATTTGATTCTGCCCAAGACTGCAAAACTCTGGTCTACAACATGGACAAGGACCAAGGTCTCCTTCCATGACAGCATCCTCACCAACTTGGTAAGTCACGAAGGATGCTAGCAGCCATGAGCACGCTACTAACATCTCACGTCCCCTCCTAGAAAACATGGGGCCGAGGGATAACACGTGTTCCTTCCACTTTCTCCATGCCCCTCTCTTCATCTCATCATTGTTTTCATTTCCTTGGAAAAGTAAAGTTAGTGAGAACCTCAGTGTGAAACAGCCTTAATGAAGGCTGACACGGGTACCGGATGTTATTGCAGTGACCTTGTCTCGGGTGCCTTCCTAGTGACTTCCCACTTGGAATGGGCTGCCAGAGAAGAGGAGAGATTCGCGGAGCATGTAACCACTTCTAGAAAGGCATTTCCTCTTGTTCCTAAAGCCTAAGAACATGAGAACAGAGACCCAGCATCTCTCAACACAGTACAAAACACTTCACTGCAAAACAAGAGCAGAGGTGAGAAGGTCTGTCCACCCTGCAGATATTTCAGGGGAAATGATTACTCAAGGGAAGATTTTTAAACCCTATTCACACCCCACACCTACACACAATACTCTTCTCAGTTGTTAATGAGTCTAAGTGCTTTCTTAATATTAGAACAGAGTTTTGAACTTAGGGTTCATTAACATGGGTGGATTTGATAAGTCCATGAGCTTTCTGAAATTGTTTTGTTGTTTGTTTTTTTTAAATTGCAAATGTCCTCACTATAGGTTTTATTATGATTTCAAATGAGTTCCTAAACCCCAGGAAAATAAGAGTCATTGTCATAACCCCACATTCATGCTTGGACAGGTATTTCAATTCATCGAGTCATAGTGGTGAGGTTGTTGTTGTTGATGGCCTTTGAGTCGAACAGGACTCATAGCAACCCTATGAACAAAATACCTGAAGCCTCTCTACAGCGGTGAGGAGTAAGGATCAAACAGGCCCAGCCTAAGTATTCATGGTCTAAGACTTGCTGCAGAAGACCTAAGAAGTGCGAAGTTGATTTTCCCCCCAGTAGTTTTTATCATTTCTTAAACCCAAATGCCAGCAGGTTGATTCTAACTCCTAACAACATATGAGTAGAAGTGTACTCATAAGATTTTCAAGGACTTATTTTGAGAAGTAAATCACCAGGCTTTTCTTCTGAGGCATCTGCGTAAACTCAGATCTCCCATCTTTTGGTTAGTAGTTGGGTGGGTTGATGGTTTGTCCCTCTCAGGGACTCCTGACCCTATCTTCAAAGTCACTTGAAACTCATTGCCATCGAATCAGAACAGACTCCTAGCCGAGCCTCCAGTGGGTTTTGGGAGAATGGAAATGGCACAGGAGGAGATTGCCCATCCTTCTCCCAAGGAATCAGTGGTGGGTCTGGACTGCCAGAGAGGCATTGCCTTTGGATTGGCAGTGCAACACCCTACAGAGTATGACACCAAAATCAATGACTGAGAAGCAATTTAGTATTTGATGAGGGAAAAATTGGAAAAGAATAGTCAGATTAAATCAGGGATGCACATTTTCCTTTCTTAGCTAATTGTACCTTGATCAGAAGTACCTATGTCATTGTTGTAATATGTAATCAAGTCGAAACCAACTCATAGCTGACCCTTCAGTGAGTTTTCAGAGGTTGTAGATCACATAGGAAGAGACTGCCCATCGTTCTCCCTCAGAGCATCTGGCTGGTGGATTCAAACACTGTGCCTTTGGGATTGCAATGTAGCTTCTTACTGCTAGGCCACCAGAGTCCCGCAGAGCTTCCCATAGTCCTCCAAAACCTTCACAGACCATTTCCATTCCTAGTGTGTGCTTTTTCTCACGCGCATGCTCTCTCTCTCTCTCTCTCTCTCTCTGTCTTATGTGATATGGTAAAGAAGTTGCTGGAGAAATCATTTTGTAGAGGCTGAATCTTAAAAGATTAAACAAAGCTAAAACATGAAACTTCTTCATGAGAGGTAGGGATTGACATATAGTGGTGGGATCTGAAGGCCCACTTGCCCCTGAACTGGCCCCAAAGGGCTCAGAGAAACCGTAGAAACTCTGTACCGGGAGTAAACCACTTCCGAAGGGCACAGGAAGCATGCCACCAGATTAAAAGACTTTGCTCTTCCTCTCCTTCATCTGTGCAGAAAGCCAGTTTCGGAAGCAAACACTGGAGCCCCTCTAAGAAACTACCTAACTGGGCCCCTCGCCAGCAATTTTTTTACTCCTTTCAAATTTCTTTTTCCTGGATTCTCATGCTTTATAAAGTGGCACACCAATACATGTCATGAACTTTAAAAAGTATTCAAGGTGGGATTTTTTTTTTACCATATTATAAATACTGGCCTTTTAAAATAAATCTGTTACATCACTTCTTCAATTGTATCTGGTAGAATTAAGAATCATAGTGATCTGGTAAGCTTCATCACTTCAAAAATACTGTAGTGACCAAATAGTTTCATTAATAAACAAGCTCTTCTTTAATAATATGAAATTTGTTATTATTAATCCCTTTTTCTTTAGTCTTTATTTTTAATCTATTTCCTCTGCAGAATTTTCAGCTGATGTATTTTTAAACTGGAAGTAGTATCTTCATTATTGTTATTGGGTATGTCAAATCAGAACCTACTAATAACTGACCTTCCAGTGGACTTACTTTTTTTTTTTTGTTTGTTTTTTTGTTTTTTTCCAGTGGACTTTCAAAGGCAGTGGATAGATCTAGTAGGAGACTGCCCATCCTTCTCCCACAGAGTAGCTGGTGGATTTGAACTACGCATGGCCATTAGGCCATCAGAATTCCCTTATCTTGATTACTCCACCTATTTTTTTACAAAAAATAGAAAATAATAAATGGGTATTTAAAAGATTTCAATTCTTTAAGTCATAAGTCTCTACATGTTAAAAGAACTTCCTGATTAAGTGATTTGTTTTGTTTTAAATTTTATTTTTATTTATTTTTTTAAATTAATTTTAATGAACGTTTACAGAGATTTTGGATTTCCATTCATTCATTGTTGCATTTTTCTCCCTGCCCACCCCTCCCGCCCTCAGTTCGCACTTCTATTTGAAAAGTAAAAGAAAAATTCTTTCTTTGGTATAGAATCCCCCCTCCCTCTCCAAGTACACTCCACTATGCAACCTTCATTCTGGACTCTTGTCATAACCATAATACCCAATTATATATCACTTTCAAACAGTTCTCTCCCTCATCTGTTTCAATGCAGTATACATACTTTATCCAGTTTTTCTGAGTCTCACCCCAACCTTGATATCAGTCTCATTCTACAACAGTGACACCATGCAACACCTGCCCTTTTGTGACTGATATATTTCACTGAGCATACTGTGCCCCAAGGTCACCCATTTTGAACAATATTGCATGAGTTTCTTGTTTTTCAATGCAGCGTAGTATTCCATTGTGTGAATATACCAGAGCTTCTCTATCCATTCGTTTGTTGATGGATTGAGTGATTTTTAAAAAAAAAAAAATCACTGTTAGAACACACATTTTTTAAAGTAACTTAAAATTTTGTATTTAAGAATCTTTAGCATCATTCTTTTCTGAATGAGAAGAAGGCTTATCTTACATTTGCATGAGTCTCATGCATGAGTACTATTTATTGATAAATTTAGACAGGATCAGCATCAATTCTATACTTCTATTTATCTTTTAAGGCTTTTGAACATTAGGAAATTTGATTCATGCAAATATGTAAATTTTATTATAGCAAAGTCTTTCCATTATTTCAACTTCTGTCAAGTTACATGTCTTAAAATTTCATCAAAATTTGACTTGCCATGAACATTTAGTCAACAGCTGACAATTTTATTGTCTCTGTTTGGCACACCATCATTTCAATTTTTTTTTTTTAACATTGAAGGACCAGGTCTTATAATAAATAAGAGGTGGAGTTATTTTTGATTGCCATTGAGTCGATCACAACTCATAGTGACTCTATGAACAAAAGAACGAATGCCTTTCCATAGCTATCGTTGTTTCTCCAAGTTCATAGAGCTTCCAGAGGCATGTGGTATAGGAAGTGGATGCCACTCCTGCTTCCAAACCTGATTTACAACTGGGAGCTCCACCAAACCCTGTCCACATTGGGAAACCATTCTGATATTTAATAACCCCATGGCACAAGGTTCAACATCACGGCAAACCCAGGTTACCTCATACAGCACATTGACAAAGAGTGACGTGCAAAGTTGAAGAAAGTTCCTCCAGATATAACAGCACTAGTCTTATTTAGCAGCAGGTAAATGTTGTTAAGTCAAATTAGAGTAAGCTTTGCACAAAAGACCTGAACTCTGTTCTATAATTATCATTATTTCTCTACTTTTATAAGAGAGTTTGTAGAGTTAGATTCCTAAAAGTATATGTGATTTATTTGTAAAGTAGTAGAAGGATATGTTCCTAAAAGGTTGACTTTAGAAAAGAGTATGTATTTTGAGAGAAATGTTCAGAGTCTAGAGTTAGATTTACTTAAACTCTCCTTGTTCGTGTACCCTTGGGGAGGCCACATCATCTGGTTAGAATTTCTGCCCTAACATCTGTATGGTACTTGGTAGGTGCTGCATAGACAAATGACAGTGAAAACAACTGATGATCCAACACAATCAGCAGAGAATGCAACAGAATGAGGTCCTCATTAAGTGGCTATCAACATACTTCCTGTGCAAATAAACAATGCTATAAATCACAGCATTATGATCCTCTCAGTCTCTGACAATAGGCCCACAGAGCCCTGCTGACTAATGCTCCAGTTTGTAAAAACTCAGATTATGTCTGTTTCTCAAAGCATCTATTCAGAAACTCCTCAATGGACCAATGTCAGACTTGTTACACAAAGTTAATTCTCTTATTTGAGACTCAGCAAAACCATACTCGCTGTGTTGAGTCAGTTCCAACTCACAGTGACTCTCCCTCAGGTGTCTGCTGCTGTGAACCTTAACAGGAAGCAGCCTCTCCTCCTTCTCCCTCAGAGCCACTGATGGATTTGAATCACTGGAGATGTGCAGCCTTTTGGTTAGGGGTGGAGCACACTACTGGCTGCACCACCAAAGTCTCTGTCTAGTCCAGGCTTTAGTCGTGCCCTCTATTTGCTCAGATTGTAATCACTGGTGCACTCTGTGCTCTTACCACTCAGCTATTACTACCTGTACACACCGTGTCGCTCAGTCATCCTCCATCACTGGTGTATGGCAGATGGCATTTGAGGACTTCTGTAGAGAAGGGCTCTTGCCGCTCATATGTCAGCATGTCATATGCTAGTGGCTTATGTGTTGCTATGATGCTAGAAGCTGCATTATTACTGTTTCCATACCAGCAGGATCACCCATGGACATGTTTCAGGGGAACTTACAGACCAAGACAAACTAAGAATAAGTGTACAGGGATCTATCTACTTGCAAAAGTTAGCCAGTAAAAACACAATGGATCACAACATAAGATGGTCTGATAGAGTGCTGGAAGACAAACCACCTAGGCTGGAAGGCATGCAAAATATTCAGTGGGAGCAAAACAGACTCATGCATACAACTGATTCTGAAGATGCCACAAGACTGGGAAACATTTCACTCTGTTGTCCACGAGTCCATGTGAGACATCAGAGCTGACTTGAAAGCAATTGACAACAACAATGGCAACGTAATGATTATAAACTCCTTGAGCTCTGGTAATCAAATAGGTAGGGGTTTGCTATTAAAACAAAGGTAGTACCTCTCTGGTCATTTGACTCAACTAACATTTTCCTCCATTATGATTGCATATAGATACTAAACACAATTTTCATATCTTGTTTCAGGCTAGCTGCCTACAAACCAGCAGGAACTGGAGAATTCAGAGAGTGGTTTTCCAAACAGCTCCCATCCTTTTCTTCAGTATGCTGATTTCTGGTAAATTCTACTTAACCTGTCACCCAACCCTGAGTGATTATGGTGGATCCCAGAGCCAAAGGAGAGAAGTTAGTGAGAGCAGAGGAAAACTGTCAGAATCAATATTTCTAAAAGAGAAATGTACCAATCAGCACTGTTCATAGGAAAACCTCCAGAACGTGTTTCAGGACCATATAATTATTAGATACAATAGGCATCGACCCACAGTACTTTTGTGGGCCCACAATGTGTTTTTAAGTCCTTAAAAACAATTTTCTTTCAGGGCAAAGAAGATAGTTTAAATATATATGAATACATTGTTGTTGTGTCATTAAGTTAACTTTGACATGGGGCATTCATGTAATAGCACAGAACTGCTCCATAGACTTTTCTAGGATGTAATCTTTACTTGTTCCACGGCAGAAGGGTGGGCAACCTCCTCCTGTGCGATAACTGCCTCTGAAAACCTTCCAGTGGGTCAACTATAGGTTGGTTCCGACTCCACGGTAAACAACAACAATCTTTACTGGAGTAAATTGCCAACTCTTTTCTCCCACAGAGTTTCTGAGTGGGTTTGAACAGCCAACCCTTTACTTAGCAACCTAGTACTTAACTGTTCAGCTATTCATTCTCATTGTTGTTGAGTTGATTCTGATTCATAGCTGATCCTCCAGCAGGCTTCCATGGCTGCAAATTCATTAGGAAACAAACGTCCTATCTTTCTCTCATGGGGTGGTTGATGGATTCGAGCCACCAGAGAGGTGGTTCATAATGCTCTTTATATATCAAGATATACTCATCTCTGTACTCCTGCAGTTGTAAAATGTAATTTTTATATTATGTATGTGGGGAGCTCTGGTGAGCTACTCTGTAAGAAGTTTCACTGCTAACCCAAAGGCCATGCCTACGTAAGTAGTTCAAATCTACGAATGGCTCTGAGGGAGAAATGGACAATCTCCTCCTGTGTGATTTGCTGCTTTGGAAATCCAACAGAGTATGAATCAGTTCTACCTTGACAGCAATAAGAGATGTATGCATGTGTGTACATGGAGGAAGAAGCTTACAAACGCAAAAGTACCTTTAGCTTAAGTCACTTCTGAAATTCCTTCCAACTCTGGCAAACTTGTGATTCTAAATCTTCTACATCAAACATCTCAGAAGCAGCTATTTCCTCATCTGAGTTCATATAAACCTAAGTGAAACAATGACATTGTAATGTGGTCTGGGACACATCGTAATTTGTGACATAAAGATTTAAGGCAGACGAAGAGAGACAAATATGACTGACCTGTACACAGATAGCAAAGGAGTGGGTTCCACAGAACAAGGCCTTATAAACAGGAAAAGGAGCCACTTCCAGTGCTGATTGCTTGCATTGTACACCTCCCCGCAAAGGAACTGGCCTCTTTGGCCCCTTGAGCTCCCACTGGCTAAAATAACAATCCTTTGCCTCCTAGTGCTCTTTAAATTTTTGAAGGGCATATTCCTTATTTATTTAATATCACAAGTGTGTGAAGAGAGACAATTTCAACTTTCTCTTAGCTGGTAAGTAAGCAGATGTGTTGTTGTTGTTATGTGCCATAGAGTCTCCCGTGACTCATAGCAACCCTTTCTACAACAGCTCTAAACCCTGTTCTATCCTGTGCCGATATCACTGTCTCTGACACACCCACCCCAATTACCCCAGTTACTTAATCAATCCACCCCATAGAGGGTATTCCTCTCCTGCACTGTCCCTTACCCTGCGCCAAGCATGACGTCCCTCTCCAAGGACTGGTCCCTCCTTGCAATATGTCCGAAGTATGTCAGACAAAACATCAGACCTCCAAGGAGCAGCCTGGCTTTACCCTCTCCAGGATGAACCTGTTTGTTTTCTTGGCAGTCCATGGTATATTCAATACTCTTCTCCAGCACCACAGCTCAAAGGCATCAATTCTCCTTCTATCCTCCCTAGTCATTATCCAGCTCTCTGATGCATAGCCAGTGATTGCAAAGATGATGGCCTGCATCAGGAGCACCTTAGCCTGCAGAGTGACATCATTGCTCTTCAGTACTTTGGAGAGGTCCCTAATAGCAGACTTTCCCATCACAATACATCTTTTAATTTCCTGGCTGTTGGTGCCAAGAGTGTTGATTGCAGAGCCAAGCAAACTAAAGCTGTTAAACAGTATCAATCTTTTTCACCATCCATCCTGATGCTACCAATTGGACCATTGTTGAGAAACTTTGTTTTCTTGGTATTGAGCTTCAATTCATATTGAAGGCTGTAGTCCTTGACTTTCTGCAGCAAGTGCTTCAGTCCTCCTCAGTTTTAGCAAGGAAGATTGTGTCATTTTCATAATGTAGGTTGCTGATGAGTCTTCCTCCAGTCCTGATGCCACACTTCTCATACAGCCCAGCCTCCCAGAGAATATGTTCTGCATATAAGTTCAACTAATATGCAGGACAAGCAGACATAGGAAAAGTAATTTTTCAAAGAGAAACAGCCAGGGGGAGAGATAGTGTGCGATTGCCAATCAGGGGTCCTGATTTGCCACAAACTAGATAGGTTTCACTTATCTAAGAAATATTTCTTGAATATTTATTAATAAGTGCCAAGCTCTTGCTGGGTGCTAAGAATCCAGAGCTACTAAGAGTCAGACATCAGAGATACATAACTGAGGACAGGGTTTTTGACACAGACATTACCATCCATGGCTGTAATGGCCCTGGAGGAAAATAAGACCTATAGTCTGGCATGGAAAACACTGAGTCACTGTAGAGAATAAAAGGAGAGTTGTTGTTATGTACCATCCAGTCAGAACTTACTCCTAACTGACTCTCCAGCAGATTTTCAATGTTATTAAATCACTTGGAGGGGATTTCCCATCTTTCTTCTTCTGCACAGCAACTGGTGGATTCAAACCACATGTTTTTGGGTTGACAACACAACCCCTTACCTCTAAACCACCAAGTAAAACTTACTAGGCATAAAGCAGGGAAGACAGGAAAGCAGCAATAGCCTTCAGAACGCCTTGGAAGTGGGAGCTCTGTTTTGCTAAAAAATTACATGTGGCAAACTATGAGGCTGGACCAGGAGGTAAGTTGAGGGTCATGAAGTATCTTATTTCTCATGCTGACAATAGGACCTATAGATATACGATAGCCATAAAGGCACTCTTCTGTGTCATATAACTTGGGATAGGGCAAATTACCTCATATGCTTCCTTCTCTGAGTTGGGAGGCCCTGCATAACAAAAAAAATTTAGACACACACCTACAACTGAAAGGTTAGTTGTTTGTATTTACACAGAGGTTCTTTGGACAAAAGACCTCATGATCTCCTTCTAAAGTAAAAAAACCCTCTGGAATACACTTCTATTGTAACATACTTGGGGTTCCCATAAGATCAAGTAAACTCAACAGAAATTTGTTGATTTTTTTGCTTCATTGATTTAGAGTGAAGTCAATATTTTGTTTTGGTCATTTATAAAAGGAAAGCATTCATTTTGATCACCTCTGAGGTTCCTTCCAACTCTGGTGATTAATGATTTTCCAACTTTAACATCAGACAGCCTCAGAAGAGGCTATTGCCTCTTTTGACTTCATGTAGTCCTATGTGAAATGCAAACATCCACTCTCTTCTCCTAAAACTAGATTAGACACAAAGTAGTCATGTTTGGAGTATTTCTCTTCTGCTCAGAAATTCCTCTGACTATATTATGTGTGTCTGACAAAGAACCTCTCTCGGCTTAAGAGATGCAAAGGGGTACTCTTTCTCCCTTACTCTAGATCTAATGAACCAGAGAGAAGTAGCAGCATGGACGTACCATTTCAGCACACAAGTATACTCGTGGAACGTTTCCCGGGCGTATTGCCAGAAGTTTTATACGGACTTGGTGGCCATCCAGAACAAAAATGAAATCGCTTACCTCAATGATGTCATTCCCCACCACAAAACTTACTATTGGATTGGCATCCGAAAGATCAATAACACGTGGACTTGGGTGGGAACCAAAAAGATTCTCACCAAGGCTGCCGAGAACTGGGCTGACAATGAACCCAACAACAAGAGGAACAATCAGGATTGTGTGGAAATATACATCAAGAGTTCAACAGCCCCCGGCAAGTGGAACGATGAGCCTTGTGGGAAGAGAAAGCGAGCACTATGCTATACAGGTAAGGCCGTTCTTCTCTTAAAAACCAGTTGTCAGGGTGTCAACCCCAATTCATGGTGATCCCATGTGTCTCTTTTGTGTGCAGTAGATGGCATTTTTTTTTTTTTACAAAGATCCCCAAGTCTTTCTTCTGAGACCTCCCTGGGTGGACTTAAGCCTCCAACCCATCAGTCAGCATTTGTGCCATTAACCATTTGAACCATTTGAACTAGGAGTCTTCCCTACTCTTCTGAAATCTTTTTTTCCTTAAAAACGGGTTTTAGTTTGTAAATAAACCAGTATCAAATATTTTTCTTTTAAAAAAGATTTTTACTTGTTAGTCAAAGGTAACCAATGAGTCAGTTAAATGGAGCCTGAAAAATGAAAACAAAGCATAAACTGTTAATGATTGTTGCCAATTCTGACTCATCATGACTTTAAGGACAGAAAGGAAGTGCCTCATGGAATTTCCTAGTCGGCTATTATCTTTATAGAAGCAGCCTGCCACATCTTATAGTGTGGAGGAGCTAATGAGTTCAAATTGTTGATCTTGCGATGATCAGCCAAGCTCTTAAATCACTGCACCATCAAATAAACTTTTTATGGAGCACCTTAAAGAACATCAGATCAGAATTAGAGAACAGTGGTCTTCTGTAACTAAAAGTAAATTTCACTATCATCCAGCTTACCCTTCAGATGGTACAGGATAGGATGGGGTTCAGATCTGTTGTTCACAAGGGTCTCTATGAGTCATATTTGACTTGACAGCACCTAACAACAACAACCCTTTATAAATTTTGTTATTGCCAGGTGCCCTTAAGTCAACTCCAATGCATAGTGACCCTGTGTTGAACAGAATGAAACCCTGCCATCCACACAATCTCCACTGTGCTTTAAGCCCGGTGTATGGTAACTGTCAAGCCATCTCAAGGATCTTCCTCACCTTCACTGATCCTCTACTTTTATAAGGTGATGTGGTTTCCTCCCCCCACCCAAGGACTGAACCCTACTAATATACATCCAAAGTATGTGAGACAAAGTTTCACCATCGTTGCCTCTAAGGAGCACCCTGGCTGCATGTCTTCTAACATAGATTTGTTCTTTCGGCAGTCTATGGGCTATTCCATACTCTTCACCAGCACCAAAATTCAAAGGCATCAATTCTTGAAATGGAAACTCTGGGATGTTTCATTTTCTGAAGGTCCTGTAGTATGACAGAAACAAAACTGATAACCAATCTCCTATATTTTAAGCCTGTCGCATTTTTCCACTATTATGTCCTCATTATGAAAAAAGAACAGGGTCAAAACAAGAGGATAAGGAAAGAGTATGGAAGATGTTGCCTTGGTCTTTATCTTCCAACCACAGAGGCTTCCTGTGCCTTCCCTTAGAACTGTTTCAAGGATATCATTCAGCTTCATCAACCTCACTGATTCATTCAGGGGAGCATTGGTTTTTTCCTTTCAGACCCTCATAGGGCTTACAGAAATAGTATCCCATAGTTAAGAGGAAACTCAGACATCATCTAGTACTACACTTTTTGTGACAGAGGATTTAATGTCATAATTACCCTTAATTGGACCAACATGTAACTAAGTTTTTGTGCAAAACAAATACACCACCAGAAAGCAATTGAGCTACAAGTCGAAGCCCCTGGCCAGGACTTAATCAATAAAACCATCTCCCATAGTGTCAATTTCATTCACTACCATTTCTCCACGAAGAATGCACACTCTCAAAAAAATCTCCTTCAAGAAAAGAAAACCGTGAGCCTTCTTTCTTTATTCTGGAACAGTGAGGAAGTCCTGGCAGGTCAGCCATGGTCCATATCATCTAACCCGAACATTTTTATATCCTGAAATAGTCCTTTACTGAGCATAGTAAATTTCTCATTTGGCTTCTCTACTCCTCTACCATAGGATATAGGACGCAAAGTGTGGAGAAGTTGTTATCCTAAAATTGGGTATATTTGGCTCAGGCAAATGACTTGCCTAAGGTCCAAACTCCAGAGGGACCCTGGATTCAGATTGTGTTTGGGCAGTGACTGTCCACCTTTGTACTAGCGTGGGCTCCATGTGAGGGCTCCAATTGTTCCTACAAGTTCACACAGAGTGGCTCCCTCCTTCCCAAAACCTATAGACCTTGAATACACTCTGACTCATAGGATAGATTAGGATGGTCCTATCTCATTTCCAAGGATGTAAATCTTTACAGAAGCAGATAGCTACATTGTAGAGTGTCTGATAGATTAAAACTTCTAATCTTTGGCTTACTAGCCAAACGCTTAACCCATTGTGTAACCAGAGCCCCTAACTTCTTTCTTGTCGTTGTTATATACCATAGAGTCAGAACCAACTCATAGCTGACCCTCCAGTGGGTTTTCAAAGGCAGTAAATCACATGGGAGTGGACTGCCCATCTTTCTCCTGTGGAGCAGCTGGTGGATTAGAACTGTGTGCCTTTGGGTTGGTAGTGCAACTCCTTCACACTAGGCCAATACAGCAGAGAAATGGGAGCTGGATAATGCCACAATAGGCTCTCACAATACTTTCACAACGACAAGCTGACTTCTCTGCTGTCTGCCTAACTCAGTCCTGTCTAAGCAAGTCTGAATCTCTCACGAATGACCATGATTCTAATCCTTCCACATCACTCAGCCTCCTGCCATGACATGTCCTGCTACAGCCAAGGAGAATGCATTGAGACAATTGGGAACTACACTTGCTCCTGCTACCCTGGATTCTATGGGCCAGAATGTGAATACGGTGAGGAAACAATTTTGATAATATTTTGGTTTTTCACCTTGCCCCAAAGATGATGTCAGCTTCTCTCTGATGGGTGAAGCCCAATCCTGGATGCTCTCAACAATCTGTTCACCTTACTCAAGCTTTTCAATTAGATTTGGGTTCAATTAGATATGGGTTCTGGGTAAACCATTTTATCCTAGGCAAGAACATTTACTCATTAAAAAAATCTCAAAAGAGAAAAAGCATAGAAGAAGCAAATGAAGGATACCTATTTAGGGCTTGTTTTTCATATTTCAAGTAAAGGTCAGTGAAAGAATGGTTATTTCTCAAAATATATGCAATACAAAGGGAGTAAATAAAAGTTGACATTCTGGGTTAGAGTCTAGAGAGAGTGCATGAAGAAGGTAACACATATGAGCTAGATTTCAGCAAATGTGGCCTTGTCTTTAAGCCAATGTTTTATCTCTTGCAGTTAGTGAATGTGGAGCATTGGACATACCTCAGCACGGGCTGATGAACTGCAGCCACCCTCTGGGAGACTTCTCTTTCAACTCACAGTGCAGTTTTCAATGCACAGAAGGGTACATGTTGAAAGGACCCAGCAAACTGCAATGTTTGGCTTCTGGACACTGGACGAATAAACCCCCACAGTGTGTAGGTATGTAGTCCTTGCTTTTTAGAGCCTCATTAGCAACCAGAATTGCAAGGAAAGAATAATGTCACTTTCCTGGTTAAATTTGGGAAAGGCAAGGGTGAATAGTAGATGGAAAATTCTCCTTACCTCTTCTACTTAACTGGAGTTACACTATTTCCCCCCCCTTCTTGTGAAAAATATAAATAATACATTTGTTAATTCAACAAATGACAATTCAGTGACAAAATGACATCAAACACAATGACCACCATTATATATGGCCTTATTTTCCATCCCCATTAACAGAGTTCCCTCGTGTCCCTTTTGTCTTCCCCTAGTTGTAAATTGGAACCAACCCATAGCTGACCCTACAGTGAGTCTTCAGCAGCAATAAATCATATGGAAGGAGGTTGCCCATCTTTCTCTCAGGGAGTAGCTAGTGGATTCACACCATGTGCCTTTGTGTGGACAGTGAAATTCCTTAACACTAAGCCACGAGAGTCCCTGGGAGTCGCTGATACACTCTCATCTATTTGCTTGTTAAGCGTTCCATATTATAGAAATCATACCTGCGTTTGTCTTTTTGAAATTAATTTCTTTCACTCAGAATAATGTTTCTAAATTTGTCAAGAGTAACACTAATTTTGTTTTGGGTGTTTTTTTGTTTTGGGTTTTTTAATTCTTTATTTTGTATTGATTTGCATACAAAATTCATATACATATATACATTGTGTGTTTCATATAACCATTCCCATTCATTGTTTTATAAAATTAATCACCATTGCTCTATGCCACTTTCATGCCTTCTTTTCAGGTCCCCACTAGATCTATCCTTTATGCCCTGCCTCTGTCCACCAAACTCTGTGACTCTGTGATTCCCTCCCTCCCAACCCTCAATCCTCTACCTCCATCTCTCTCCTTCCTCCTTTGCAACCATCCAATACTCACCCCTAAAGCCTCCTGAATGAGGAAATACAATCTGTTTTGAGTCTGCAAAAGAACTCCAGCACCAACTCACATGCAGCTTCCACTGTGAAGAGGGTTTCAGACAATAACTTTTCCTTTCAGCTATTACATGCGATCCGATGGAAAGGCCTGTCCACGGCAACATGGATTGCTCCTCGTCTCTGCAAGGCTTTCAGTATGGCAGCAGCTGTAGCTTCAGTTGTGCAGAGGGTTTCTTGCTGAGAGGAGCTGAAACAGCTTGGTGCTCTGACAAGGGACAGTGGACAGCACCTGCCCCCGTGTGTGAAGGTATGGTAACATTGAAATATTCCTTCTGCCCTTCACAGCTCAGAAGGCATTGACATCTTAATTTATCATTGTCATCAATTTATCCATCAGACAGTGTCTGACAACTTACTATGCACCAGAGATGAAACAGTAAAGAAACCCATTTTTGGTCCCAATATATTCAGTTCAGCACAATCAAGGCACTTTTGGGATATGTTAGCATGAAGGAGACTGGAGAGGAAGAACAGTACATAAAGATAAACTTAATACTAACTTTTTAATCCCTCTCAACAACTTTTAAAGTTGCTGAGTTTCAGGGTCTTCTGTTAAATGGGGACACAATTACCTGCCTTGAGAGCAGTGGGGGGTTCAGTGGTAAAATTCCCACTTTCCATGTGGGAAATCAGGCTCCATTCCCAGCCAATACACCTCATTCCACTCACCACCCATCTGTCATTGGAGGTTTGTGTGTTATTATAAACTGAAACAAACTTCAGAAAAGCTTCCAAACTAAGATGGAGTATGAAGAAAAGGTCTAGCTATCTACTTCCTAAAACCAGCCAATGGAAACCTAAGCAACTCTCCCATCCTATTGTGTGCGGAGTAGTTATGAGTCAGAAGCCAACTTGGTAACAGTTGACAACAACAATGGAGCCCTGGGGGTGCTGAAGAGGGAGGCTTCTAATCAAAATCTTGCTCCACAGGAGAAAGAGGTGAATCTGCTTTCACAAACATAATGGCCTTGGGAACACTGTAGGCCTGCTCTACTCTGTTCTGATGGCTTGTTATGAAGTAAATTCAGTGGCAATGGGTTTTTATAACAATAATAATCACCTGCCTTATCTTTCTACCTCACTAGTTACTATGAATTAATGTGTATAAAAGTAACTTCAAAACAGCTTTGTGCTTCATAAATGTAGGTAAGATAATAGCAATAACAACATCCTATTAATCATAAGCACATGGTCTGTTTTTATTAAAAGATTATCTTTCAATATTTTATAGGATAACTAATGCACAGCAAGATAGTTAGGAATATTTGTTTACAAAAAATACCCTACACAGAAATAATTTCAGAACTACTATATCAGCATTTCATATTTTCTTTTATTGGCATAAATGGGTAGTTTATGCAATTCCTCTCTGTTTAAGATTGAAAACAACTCATACTCGTTGTCATGGACTTAAAATCAACTCATAGCTGACCCTCTGGTCGGCTTTCTGAGGCTATAAATCACAAAGTAGGTGCTCACTCCTGTGAGTTGCTGGTGGATTTGAACCATCAGAAAGAAGCCACCTTCAGGTGAGCAGCAAAACTCCCTATGGGCTGTTTCCAGAGCTCCCTTGTTTAAGTATACTCTGATATAATGCTAAATGAGGTTGAAGCACTAGATTGTCAAGCCCCATTTGAGTGAGCTTTAGTAAGGATGATGTAATAGATTGTAAATGGACCATCTGGCAACAAAGAAACTGTCTTCTGACACACTTAACATGGATCATCAGGGATCATTCATGCTATTCCTGTTTCCAGATAGAATTATCCAGGGCAGGTATCTGAATGTTCTCTTAAACATCATGCGATGTGGTCTCCTTACTTCCATTTACAGGCTCTCCTAGGGTTTTCTACTTTGATACGCGGGCTTTATATCCAATGTACACTTTTGATATTACTGCATTGCTATTCTGACTCATTGTCACGAGAGTTGGAACTAACTCATAACTGACATTCCATTGTGCCTCTGAGGTTGCAAGTCACATAGGAGAAGATTGTGTACCTTTCTCCTGAGGAGTTGCTGGTGGATTTGAACTGCCAGAAGAGGCATGGATCTTGGGATAGCAGGGCAATTCCCTACAGACTACACCACCAGACTAAAGACAATTATACTAGCATAGTTCCTTTTTCAAATAACTTCTTGACAAAATATTTGAAGTCGTTTTTGCATGCACATCTACTATGGTGACACTAATTCTTAGAAATAAGTCTTTGGCTCAAAAGCATGAGATAGAAGAAGTTATTAATACATATTTCCAAATGCTCAATAATGAGTCAGCACTTTTTTAATACAGTATTTCCATTAGGTGACACTTTTGTATTCCTCTGGGTTAAATAATTCTGATTTAAGAGTTTCTGTTCCTGTCTCAAGGGAGGATTAGGGGTTGAAATCAATGAGTGGTTATGTGTCATTCTTTCCCCTCACTCCTTTGCCTCCCCATCCCTTAGCTCTGAGGTGCCAAGATCTTCCAGCTCCCAACAAGGCCCAGATGAACTGCTCCCATGTGCATGGTACCTTCAGGTACCAGTCAGCCTGCAGCTTCACCTGTGACGAAGGCTCACTCCTGGTGGGTGCGAGCATGCTGCAATGCTTGGCTACAGGACATTGGAGTGCTATGCCACCAGAATGCCAAGGTATAGTCGTGTGCTCCCCACCATCTTGGAAATAAACGCTAAGCTTTATTTCACCATGGTAAATGACCACCTTGAAAACATCTAGAAAATGAATACTGAACTCATCCTTTCACCCTACAACTCAGGGACCTCAAAAGCAAATACCTTCATGGGCTAGGCAGATGGTACAAATATCGGGCTGTTTGGCAACAGACACTGGGGAGTAAGCCCTGGGAATGCCTTTGCAAGGTCTTCATTCTTGTTGTTTTCTGGGTCCTGTTGAGTTGGTCCTGACTCATAGCAACGCTAGGTACAATGGAATTAAACCACCCAGTTTTGCACTGTCCTCATAATAGTTGCTGCTTGAGTTCACAGTTGCAGCCATTGTCTCAATCCATCTCTCTGAGGGTCTACTTTACCAGGACCTAAAGGCTCTTTCATGAGCCAGGTTAACTGTTCCCCCTTGGCTAATTACAATATCTGTAAAGAAACCTTAAAAGGAAAAAAAAATAGGTACGAGATAGTTATCCCGAAGCCGACATGGTTCTTCACTCGTAGAAGTCTAGTATAATGGTGGAATGGGGAGCAAACCCACAAATGAAATATTAAGCAAAGTGATGAAGTACAATGAAAGTTATGAGAAAGAAACTACTTCTTGAACTTGAGGTTACAGTATTCTCAGAGAAAGAAATTTTCAGATTCAAGATAAACTTTTATGTTTATATGTATCTTGATATCTAAAAGTCATTGCATTCTACTGATAGTATAATATCCACCTGAAATAGAATTTAATCTAGTAATCTGTGTTTGGAGATTAAAAGATAGATGTGTTTTCCCTATACTCATTCTTTTTTCTATTAATTGTACCCGATTTTTTAGTTATCTTTATGGCAAACATTGCTTTTAAAAAACAAGGTATTTTATGCTAGGTGAAATATCTCAGTCACAAAAGGACAAATATTGCAGAGGACCACTGCGGTAAAACGGGACTGTCATCAGGGTTGAGGGAAGACTGAGAAAGATGGGATAAATAATGTATACAATACTGAAACAGATTAGGGAGAGAACTGTTTAAAAGGGATTTATGATTAGGTATTTTTGTCATGACAGGAGTTCAGAATGAAGGCTGTACAGTGGAGTGGACTTGAGGGGAGGGATTGTATAGCAATGAAAGAATTTTTCTTTTATTTTCGAAGAGAAGAGCAAATTGGGGGGAAGGTGTGGACAGGGAGAAAAGTGCAACAATGAATGACTGGAAACCTTAAATCTCTGTCAACTTTCATTAAAATTAGTAAAAATATACGCCCCCCTCCAAAATCAAGGTCTTTATTTACCAAGACTACAGGGAGGGGAAAATACAGGAGGAGAATTATGTTGTTTTAAAATACCTCCACCCTAAAACAGAGACTGTTTACATTCTGGTGTGAATTCCTCCAAATATGTTCCCTCTCTGATTTTCCCCTTCTGTAATTTATAACTTTATGAAACAGATATAATTGCCACGAAAAGTAAAACACATAAAATACCAACTAACTTCTGTGTTGTTTGCCTTTGCCGACTCATTTTGCACAGACTGTAACATCTGGCAAAATCAAGCTGGTACGTCGTGTTTTGAAGAGGAAACCACTTGCTATTTAGGTCACACTCACGTCCACCACTGCTAAATTGGGCCAACCGTGGATGACTGAATGAGCAAATGAATAAACAAATTCAGCAAAACTGGGTGTCCTTTGTCCCCAAACTGTCTTCCAAGTCACCTTGGAGCACTGTGTTTAAGCACCCAGATGCTAACCAAAAGGTTCGTGGTTCAAGTCAACCAGTTTTTTCTTAGGGGAAAGAAATGACAATTGGCTTCCTTAAGGATTACAGACTTGGAAACTCGACAGGGATGCTTGTGGTCTGTCTTTGTAGGATGGACAGATGGAAGGCACTTTTAGAGCAGGTCTGAGGGGAACAGGGTGAGACTGAGATTCTTCTCCTCAACTCCCATCCTGGATACTTTGAAGCCTGGATGAATCACAAAGTCCATGCAGCTTTGGGGAAGGACTGGGTATCTTTGCTTTGGGTTATCACAGCACTCAGAGCTCTTCTCGGCTGCCCTGAACTCTACCAGGCACAGATTACAGTTCATTGCCTCATACTGGCTTGCCTATGGGCGTTTCACAGCAAGGAGGTTGCCACTCACCACTGCTTCCTGTGACCTTCCAGTTCCCTTCTGCTTTTAGTTCTTTGTTTACTCCAACTGAACTTTCTCCTTATCCTCTCACTGCTAGGTGCCTATCATGTGAAATACCCAAATGTGGGCTGGGCAGGAAGGCACAGTGAGGCTTGCAACCCCCTAGCTGTTGCAATACTTCTGAAAGCACGTTAGCAGACCGTTTCCCTTTTTAATGTCTCTCCTCCACTGTCACCCCTGCCATTAGAGAAAGATCTGGAAATGGACTCAATGTCACCAAGTCTTGCATATGCCTCAATGTGCCTTTACAGTCCCCTTTTTCCTCTTTCCAGCTCATCCTCTTATACATACTTAACACTAAATAGGTTTCAGTGACAGAAAACAACTAGATTTTTGGACAAATTCATATACTTGGGGGCAATGTAGTTGGGGGGGAAGGAAGGAATGAAAGAGCACAGAAAATACTCTGAAGACTGAAATACCTAAGAACCAAACTCATTGTCCTCAAGTTGTTGACTCCTTTTAGCAAGCCTCCACCTGGCTTCCAAAACTAAAAATCATTACAGGAGTAGCTGCCCATTTTACACTTGAGAAACTGGTGAATTTGAACTACCCACATTTCCAATCGGCAGCATCATGATAGACGGTGACAAGATTGAGATTGTTAACAGCTTCAGTTTGCTTAACTCCACAATCCACACGCTTGGTACCAGCAGCCAGAAAGTAAAAAGATAAATTACATTGGGAAAGGCAGCTTTCAGGGACCTCTCCAGAGTACTAAAGTCTGGAGACTAAAATTCAACTGATCTGGGCCATGGTCTTAGCAATTACTTGATATGAATCAGAAAGCTGGACAATGACTGACTGGAATGATAGAAGGAGAACTGATGCCTTTGAGCTATGGTGCTGAAGGTGAGTATTGAATATAACATGGACCACTAGGAGAACAAACAGGTTTGTCCTGGAGAAGGTGAAACCAGGCTGCTCCTTGGAAGCAAGGATTCTGAATCTCTGTTTGACATACTTTGGGCATGTTGCATGTCCTTGGAGAGAGACATAATGTTTTGGAGGATGGAGGGACAGCGTAAGAGAAGAAGACCCTGGATGAGATGAATCGACTTAGTGACTGGGATAATAAGGGTAGGTGTGTGAGAAACAATGAGGTTGGCTCAGGATAGAGCAGGGTTCAAAGCTGTTGTACACAGGGTCATTATGAGTCACAAGCAACTCAGCAGCACATAACAACAACAACAACCACCTTCCGATTAGCAATCCAACACATTACACACTATACCACCAAGACTTTATTAAACAATGATACCATTGAACAGTGGTGGCATAGTGGCAAGGGCTGTGCTGCAATCCTGAAGGCATGTGGTTCGAGGCCACCAGCTGCTCCGCAGAAGAAGGATGGACAATCTTCTCCCATGTGATTAACTGCTTCTGAAAATCTGCCTGAGGGTCAGCTATGGGTTCATTCTGACTTGACAGTACACAACAAACAGCAATGAATAGAAGATTCCCTGGTGTCTTGGATTCTCTTGGTGTAAAGTGTGGCAAAGGACTGAGGCTTATTGTAACTTTCATGCAAGTGAACAAGTTCAGTTATCTGTGGTGGTAGGATGAAATAGATGGAAGAAGTGGAAATTGTATTTGCAAATAGGCTATTAACATTATGTGGCTACTTTGTGTCTATAACTTGTATTTTAAAATTTCATTATACATTTATTTAAGTAGCTTATTATTATGCAGCTAAGGATGCCTACAAGGTAAGGATTGTGGCTTTTCCCATTTTACAGGTGAAGAGACTGTGATTTGGAATCACAATGTAGAGATACATTACTGATAAGTAACAGCCAAGATGTGGACCCAGATTCTTTCTGCCACATCATAAAGGAGTTTTAGGAAGGGGGGAAGTATACTATTTTCCTCCAGTCATTGTTGTTAGGTGTCACCAAATTGCCACAACTCATTGTGACCCTATGAACATTGTATCTAAATTTTTCCCTATCTTGTGCCTCAGATATACCTGAGCCTATCTTGTTGGGAGGATGCCCTCCCTTCTTTCTATGACCCTCCACCTTTCCCAGCATGACACCTTTTCCCAAGGATCTTCCCCTCCTTACAAGATGTCCAAATGATGAGAGACAAAGTTTGATCCTGGCATCTAAGGAGCAAGCTGGAGGCACTCCATCTGAGACACACTCGTTTGCTCTTTTGGCAGTCCAAGGGATAACCAGAACTCTAGTCATTTGGTTTTCCATGAGGTCCATTTGAGAAGAGAGTATCAAGGGAGCAGCAACTTCCAATACAGCCAGGGGCAGCTGGGACCACCCGCACAACTATTTTTCTAAACAGGTCATTCCCTATTTAAAAATAATTTCTAAAGAAAGCTATTTGGGGTGTTTCAAGATGTTCACTGACTGTCAGTTACTTACCCATCCATTATCTATCTCCCCTCTCCCCCTCACACACACCCCCTTGGCCTGTTGAGTTATAATATTATTTCTCCTTTCCCTTTCTCTCTCCGTCTTATGACAGAAGTTACTTGCACACCTTTGCTGAGCCCTCAGAATGGAATGGTCACCTGTTTCCAACCTCTTGGGAGTTCCAGCTATAAAACTACATGTCAATTCCGGTGTGAAAAGGGATTTTCTTTGTCTGGACCAGAAAGGTTGGATTGTACTTCATCTGGACACTGGACAGGTTCCTCACCAACATGTGAAGGTAGGAGTTTGGGTCTGTCCTTTCTCATGGCCTTTAAGGTAACATTACGAAAATTCAGAATCAGTAGAGATTCATGGGAAAGCATTTACCAGTGTCAGCAAGCAACACATTGTCCACTAAACCAACAATCTAGACCAAATGCTACTCTCTCTCCCTCTCTCATTTTCCTACCTCCAACTCTATCATTAATAATCTAATAGTAACAATTCTGGCCAAATAATTCTGTTTTAGAAAGTGTTTTCATGTAATTAAAGAATTTAATATTCACCACAGTTCTGAAATTATGAGGAAGAAGAGTATCATTTCCATTTTATGGATGAGCAAACCTAGGCCCAGAGAGGTTGAGTAACTTGTCAGTCTAAGGAAAGAATGGTTATAAATGGTGGTGCCGTACTGTTACACAGATTTTCAATTCCTTATAGTCTTTTTTTCCCTCCTACACTCCTCATTAGTTCATGTGTACATTTCTTCATTCCCTTCCACTGAGCACTAGAGATTTCAGACACTGAGTCCCTTGCACTTGTTCAGGGACAGATATGACTTAATCCTAGCTTCTCCAGCACCTCACATGGTATTTCGGTACTTCTACTCATCCTCTTACATGGACTATACACTTCCTGAGGGCAGGTTTTAGGTATTTCCACATTCAATCCTCATAACAGCCTATAAATGCATATTATTATCATCCCTGTTTTAAAGATAAAGGAACCACAACATTGAGAGGGAAAGTAGCTGGCTAAGAAGCAGTGAAGTCAGGATTCTAGGTCTGATCTGACTTGTCACCATCATCTGCCAGCCTGCTTTGTGGGTCACAGCAGATCTGTGCTCCAGAGAGCTTACAATGGCTGGTTTGTTGGGGTTTATTGGGGACAAACTGTCAGGTTCCAGAATGCTGATTGCACTTGATACCGTTGGCTATTAACCAAAAGGTTGAAGGTTCCATCCATCCAGGAACTTCTGAAAAAAGGAGCCTTCGTTATAAAAACCTCAAACCAAAGCTATTTCCATTACGTAGATACTGACCCTTAATGACCCTCTAGGAGAGAGTAGAACTGCTCCATAAGTTTCCCAAAGTCTGTGTGATCTTGATGGCAGCTAACTGTCTCATCATTCTCTTGTGGAACAGGCTGGTAGACAAGCACCTAACCTTTCTGTTGGCAGTTAAACACTTAAACACTGCACTACCAGTGCTCTGTAAATCTGACTCTATCTACTGCTGTGTCAGAGTGGAATTGCCTCAAAAGGTCCAACTCTAAGTGTTTACAGGGGCAGACCACTATTTCTTTCTCTGACAGAGCTGCTGGTGGGTTTGAATCACAGACCTTTCAGAACAATGCAATTCAATTGTTACATATACAGGCTTTCCTATTTCTCACTTTAATAAGCTCCCTGCTGTCTAGTCCATCCATTCATCTAGTTGAGACGGTAATACTTAGTGGGCTGGAGATTGTTAGTGCAATGAAGCAGCAGGTAGAGGAGAATGTTTTAAATCACTGTGCTATACTGTCACCATGTGGCAATATTTCAAAATCACAGTTCCAAAATAAAATCCAATCATTTGTTACAGTAGACTTGACTCAGCGACATAGAATAGAGTAGAACTACCCCATCGGTATAGTTCTTTAAAAACTTTCATTAAAATATCAATTTAAAAAAACCAAACAAGCAATACTAACTATACTTTGTCCAACCCTCCTCCTTTTATTTTATGCTTATGTGGGAATATTTTGCCAAGACCTGAAAGTGGATCAGTTAGATGGAAAAGTATAAACATGTATTTTTATACTATATGTTATAAATAAAAATATCCAACAATAAAAAATAATCAGAACAATTCTGTGAGGTCTCTGAAGTGGAGGGTAATGAAAAGGGGATGGAAATACAAAGTCTAGAATGTGACAATTGAAATATCCTTGATGTCCTTATCTCCATGACTTCTACATTACTCTTCGCTGCAAGGCTGTCCCATCCTACCCCTCTGAAGTAAATGAATTATCTTATCTGTTGTGGAATGCCCATTGCTTAGCAAAACACCACACAGTAGCTGTTCAATAAAGATTTGCTGAATGGATGAGTGAGTCACAGACAGGACCTCTAAATAAGCCAGCAGAATGTGACTCTCTTGGTTTAATGCTCCAGCCACCAGGTGTCCAGAGCTGTTCCCTCCAGAAGGAGGCACAATGGATTGTTTGGACATCCTCGGAGAATTCCATGCCGGGTCTGCCTGCCACTTCTCCTGTAGCAAGGACTTTAAGCTACAAGGGTCCACGGATGTTGAATGCACTACTTCTGGAAAATGGACAGCACCTCCACCCAGCTGTGAAGGTAAAGCAGTATCTATTCTTTAGGGTCAGCTCTTGTTGTGGAACTGTCTTCTACAGTAATAATCAACACTTAAATCATTCTTACTGTGACTGGTATATATTGCCTTGTTGTTGTTGTAGAAAGACTACTCCTTTTTATTAAAAAGGTCATCTGAAGGGAACAGAGTTTACAGATTTCAACATCTGTAAGGAGTGGCAGGACTTGTTCTGTTTGTAAGTGAACTCTGGTGGTCCAGTTATCAGGGAGTGTAGCTCCAGGGTGCTGTTACCCCAGAGGCAGTACCTTTCTAGCAGTTTGAATCTACCAGCAGCTCTTAGGGAGAAACAGGGAGACAATGAGGAATCTCCTCCCTTTCTCGAAGGAAGGCCCGCTGTGAGTTGCTTCCAACTCAACAGTACTACATAAAAAGTAAAGGACAACTTGATTCTTAAGCAGACATTGTGCTTTGTATTTTTGACCTCTTTTTCAAAAAGCAGTTTTGAGTTGACTGAATGGAGGATACAAGAGGTGAAGTTACTGATCCAGTATTTTAAATCAAGAAACTAGGGTAGAAGGAGGTGGCCCATTGTCTTCCAGGGAAGCGAGTGACGGAGCCAGCAGCCCCATTCACGTCCCACATGCCAGGCTAGCCCGTGGTCAAAGACAAGACCTTCCAATAAGACAGGGACAAACACACAGGCAGTCTGCCCAAGGCAACTTGGCTTTCTACTGAATTTCTTATGCTCTTACACCAATGTCTCTGTTTTAAAAATATCAGTAACACTGACAAATAACATAACAATTTCTTCTGACGGCCAGGAGAATCATCTTTCCAAATACTCTCTTAAGTCACTTTCTTTATCTTGTTTTTCCATACTGGAAATCAATACTCTTCTTTAAGGAGAAATAATCTTCTTGAAGGATGTATTGGTAAAGACTCCTCAGGAAAGGAGTGGAAAGCATTTATTAATTCTATAATACTTCTTTAAATTGTGGGCCCTCTAAATTGGGGCACTTTCTCCCAACAGCCATATCACCAGCTCTTCCTTCAGAGGTACGATGCCCAGCCCTCATCCCTCCTGAGCATGGAACAATGTCCTGCACTCATCATCTGGGAGCCTTTGGCTTGAATACCACTTGCTACTTTGGATGCAATGTTGGGTTCACCCTTACCAGAGCCAGCCGTCTCCAGTGCAGACCTTCAGGACAATGGACAGCAGTAGCTCCAGCCTGCAGAGGTAATGTGCGTGGCAGGGAATTTCAGATGCTGCTTCCCTGTGGAACCTCACACTAGACCCTGTGCCTGCTAACATCGCTCTCAAAACCAAACAACTTCAAATACCAGCTCCTTCATGAAATCTACACCAACCCACCGTTCCTGACCACCCTAGTCAGAAACCATGTTCAGCTGACCTGTTAGCTCTCCTCTTCCTCATTAGTGCAAGCTAATGCCCTGGCATGCTAAGACTCAAAGGAGGAAATGTTTGTAAATGTCCAAAATGTGTTAGGACAATGAGCATGCTACTGCATGAAACTAGCCATGTAAATTGTGAAAAATAAGTTGCATTTCTATTAGGTGACAATGTAGATAACCCATGTTTTTCATAATAATTGAAACCTAAATTATTTTTTATAAACAAACCAAGGGTGACATTTTCTGAAAAGATACATGGGAAGCATTGAGATCTATTTATTTTTCATTTTTATATTCCCATCACGGTGCTTGGAGGTGGTACTGTTTCTCAGTAATGTTATCTGACAAATGTTCTTTCCTATGCTTTGGTTCCCTACCCATAAATTGTGAGAAATAATATGGTTTCTTAAAAATAGTTTGAAAGAAATTATGTCCTACGCTGGTCTAAAACTTCTAAGAGTTCAGCCATGTTAGACACTGAAATGTTTTCACAAACACATGGAAACATTCCAGATAGTTGTTAACTGGGAATAGTAATAACAGAAGCACTCAGACAATATTTTCAAGAATCAGAATTTCATAAGTAATATTTTTAGACAAGATTGATTATACATTACCAGGCATTCTTCGAGTGGACAGGTCTGCCGATGTGCTGTTAGGAGAGTTGCTATGACCAGCAGAAGTGAATCATTCCATTTCTGGGCCTTTTAAGTTCCGCCTCATTCACTGGCACTAATAGCTGGGTGATAAATGAAGTTTATAACCCTGATTATTTTTGCTACTTGCATTTTATATGTTGTTTTTCCTGCCTTGTTTTGTTTCCTGCAGCTGTCAGATGCACTGAGCTGCACATTGTTATGCCAATAGTGGTGAACTGTTCCAATCCCTGGGGAAATCTCAGCTATGGGTCCACCTGCACTTTCCATTGTCCAGAAGGTCAATTACTTAACGGCTCAGCAAGGACAGCATGTCAAGAGAATGGCCACTGGTCTAACACGGTGCCCACCTGCCAAGGTACAGGCTTCATATGAGTGAAAAAGTTACCTTGATAGGGAAAATAGCAAACCAGTGCTTTTCTTTTGTGTGTCCCACAACAGTACATCCAACCGTAGTAGTCTTGCTTCCTTTCACTGAATTTTCTCACCTCATGGAATTTCTTTGCCTTGTACAGAGAAATGTGAATGAAATTCAGTGACTCTGTACAGACAGTCACCACTCATTTCCTTATAATTCACGTTTAACTCATCTTGGAGTTCCGGAACGTCTTAAAGTGATAGGGTTTCGCGTGGCCTTGTGCACAGAGAGTGAAGCACTGGATCTGGCACCTTCTTCATGACCGTGGTGATGAGCCCATTGCTGCACCGCTGTGTCAGTCCACACTGTTGAGTGTCTTCCTCTTGGGGGTGATCTTATACTTTACCAAGAATAATATTCTTCTTTAGGGCCTATTCCTTCCTGATAACATGCTCCAAGTATGCAAGATAAAATCTTGTCATCCTTGTCTCTAAAGCTCATTCTGGTTGTACTTCCAAGACAGAGTTGGTTATGTGTCAGTCTGTGTAATAGTCAATATTTTTCACCAGCACCACAAATTTTATGCATAATCCTAGCTTATTTTATGACCCCTATTTATCACATTTCCCTGAAAATGTTATCTTTTTTAAATTAAGTTCTATTACGTGCAAGATTTATTTCATATCCCCCTTCCTCTTAGCAGCTTATGACTTCTTTTTTTTTCTTTCATAGAGACAATAGTTGTAGAAAAGCTTTAGGTCTTTTGTTCATAGGGTCACTATGAGTTGTGCTCGACTGGATGGCAATCGACAACAAACAACAGCATATTCAATTGCCCTCCAAATTACAAATGGCTGTATTTATTTCCATTTATTCTATTTGCCATTTAATTGTTTTTATGGAATCTTTCCACTGACTCCTTCACATGTTACTTAAGGGATAAAGTTGGGTCCCTCTTTTCTTCTGTCGCAATGGTTTTAACCACTTCCACATCTTCCTCTTGTGCCTGGTGGCACTGATGACCACTGATGACCCTATTCAATTTCACATCTTAGAACTCTTGGGATAATGATCATTGTTTGCAGTACAGTTTTCACGCTGTGCGGGTTTGTAAATGTTTTGCAGCGGGACCACTGACCATCCAGGAAGCTCTGACTTACTTTGGCGGAGCTGTGGCTTCCACAACCGGTCTCTTGATGGGTGGAACACTCTTGGCTCTGCTAAGGAGACGTTGCAGACAAAAAGGTAAATAAAAGTCTTCTTATTTTATTCTTTTTTCTTTTTTTCCTGTGACTTGAAGTGGGAGGTTTAAACCTTAACTTCAGTAATTCACATTTAAAAACATTTTCAAAAAAACAAGGCAAAAAGTAAATTATTTTGTGTTCAGTTGTTCTAGTTGTTTATAAGAATCACCTGGGGGATTTTATAACAATTTAGATCTTTGTACTAGAAGATCAAGGGATGGACTTGGAAATCTGAATTTTTCTATTCCCCAAATTCCCAGAGTGTTTTTAAGATTGGTATTTTGGAGCTTCTGGTCTAGGTGGCCTATCACCAAAACTAACAGGAGAAGGTTTTGTGTTTCCCGCCACCCCACCCCCCACTCCTTCCTCCATGTAGCTCATCTATTGATCAGCTTTGTTATGTGGTGGGACCTAAAATGATGCTTCCTGATAGCAAGGACTATATATAATAGGAGGATAGATAAGTTCAACCAATGCCAATGCTAAATAATGGTGAGTATGGTAAGGCAAAACTATAACTTTAGCATTCCTCGAACACCAAATAAGCAAAAAACAAAATCAGTTACCATGGAGTGGATTCCAGTTACTGGCAACTCCAGGTGTGCCAGAGTAGAGCCATGCCCCATGAAGAATTCAAGGGCTGATTTGGAGAAGCACATTTCCAGATCTTTCTTCCAAACTACCTCTGGATAACCCCAGACCTCTTGATTAGCAGTTGAACCTGTTAACTGTTTGCACCACCCAAAAGGTTGGGACTCAGAATATTGCTGCCATTGGGGAGATTCCACTGAGAATTTCTCACACTCACTAAGTGTATGTAATAAGTAAATGTGTTAATCTTTTTTTTCTTTTTAAAACTTACTATAATCCAAACTTATTTTTCCATGAGATGCTTTTGATTTCCTGTGGGTTAACTGCTAGGTCTTCAACAATGCCTAAAATTTCCATTATTAGAATGTAGCACTCAGATTAAAGGAGGGGACCCCGATCACATATTACCTTGGAGGGAAAGCATCTACTGTCATGTTGGAACAATTTGTGCAATTAGCTCACTCAACTGATGTCTGAATAGCAGGATCCAGTTTGCAACAATGCAGGGCTTTCAAATGCCAAAGAAATAAGTTGCAAGAAACCCTGATACAAATAATAATAATAATAATAAAAGAAAGGAAGAACAGAAACCCAAAGCAAAGGCCAGAAGTAGAGTTTTTCACTGAGAGAAAGAAGGGAGAAGGTGAGAGGATTCTGGGGTTAAATATTGTCAAGTGTTTAATGTAGCCTGTTGGGCTGCTAACTGAAAGGTCAACTATTTGAAGCGATCAGCTACTCTGAGGGAGAAATATGGGCTATCTTCTTCCATAATGATTTATATAGCCTGGGGCACCAGTGGAGGGTTGCTATGAGTTCGAATCATATTGATTCGATGGCAATGGGATTGGTTTGATTTTGTTTTCTAAATCAGGCCAAGCTCTAGATCCTGAGGGAGAGTACACACCTTATAATAAGTCCATCTGAAAATCAGTCTACAGACTTTCTTCCATCAGTCCTATCACTAATCTTTCTCCTTTTATCATATTTTTTTCTTTTACACAAACCATGGTATCTTCTTGCTTATTTCAGATGATGGGAAAAACCTGTTAAACCCTCCAAGGTAAGAAGGAAATGTTTTATAATTGGGTACATTATTTTTCCCAATTTGACTTTATAAGTCACTGTGATATGAAATGATCAGCTATAACACTGTCTTTTAAATCTCAGTCTTTTACAGTGGCTCCTTTATTATCTTCAAGTAAAATATACAGATGATAAAACGCTTACAGCCTCTAAGTCAGAACAAACTCACAGCTGACATTCCAGCTGGTTTTCAGAGCTATAGATCACTCGGGGGGAGAGTGCCCATTTTTCTCCCACAGAGCCACTGATGGCTTCAAATTTCCAGAGGGACACCACCTATCGGGTAGCAGAGTAAATCCCTACAGACTACGCCACCAGAGGAGAAATGAAAGGAGAAATGTATTACAAATAAAGTTTTGGCTTGGGCACCACACTAAGAAAATAATCAGAAGCTTGCCCCTCTGAGTAGAATCAAGGTTTATTCTTACCTCAGAAATACAAATTCTCAGCGTGGGAGTCAAACTGGAATGAACAGCTTGAAGCCGGGATCAGATCATGATGAGGACAGCATCCCCAAAGACAGTCTAACCCACTGCCCTCAATGTGATTCCATTTCATGGGGACCTTCTGATGGGTTTGCAAGCCTGTTAATGTTTACTGGAGGAGACTGTCCTATAGAGTGGATGGTAGACTAAAAATACAGACCTTTTGGTTAGCCCCACATGTAACCCCACATACCATCAGGGCTTCTTACAAGGGCAGACCAAGGGGGGAGCGGATACTGTATTAGTTGACTCAAATAATATCAGAGGTGGTGCAAACACATCTGATTTTCAAAATGGAATGGCAAACAAAGAGCTGTAGAACTTGTCTGTCATTTCTCAATTATAACAGTGATTGCACTTTTGCTATTGTTGTTGTATACCATCGGGTCAGAACCAACCCGTAGCTTACTTATAGTGCATTTTTAGATAGTAAATAGCACAAGAGGAGATTGCCTATCTTTATCCAATGGAACAATGCAAATGGTGGATGCAAATCACATCCCTTCTCATTGGCAGCAAAATGCCTTAATACCATGAAAGCACCAAAATGCAAAAAAAGAATTAATGTGTATATGTAAAATCTTTGTAACGGCCTTTCTATAACAATTGTCATTTATCAATATTCCTAGAGTTTCCAGAGGCATGTTTTTTAGGAAGTGGATGCCACTCCCACTTCCAATTATAAAAACAGAGGAAAAAGAAAAAACAATGGATGTTACAAGAGATTCTGAAAATTGTACTAGAGCATTGAGAAGTCAAAACAAAAGTAAAAATACTGAACAGATGATTTCAAAGGGTATCTTGAAAATACAAAGCTAAGTATAATAATGGAATGTGCAGAGAGCTGGAATTGGCTACTTAAAAAGGAATAATTCACTCAGCAGTTCTCAAGTTTAAAGAACTGAAAATCAAATTCAAGCCTCTAGGTGTAATACTCAAGGATGCTATTGGAAAAATCTTGAATGATCCATGAAGCATCAAAAGAAAATGGAGGGAATATACAAAGTCATTATAACAAAAAGATTTGGCTGACACTGAAAAATTTCAGGAAGTATCATATGAACAAGGGCCTTTGATAATGAAGGAAGGAGTTCAAGCAGCACTGGAGATTTTAGCAAAAACATAAGGCCCTAGAAATGGAAAGAATACCAAGTGAAATGTTTCAACTAACAAATGCAGTTCTGGATGTGCTCACCAGTCTATGTTAGGAAATTTGAAGGACAGCAACCTAGCTGACTGACTGGAGGAGATCCATATTTGCTTTTATTCCCAAGAAAGGTGATCCCATAGAAAATGGAAATTATTGAAAAATATCATTAATATGACATGCAAACAAAATGTTACTGAAGATCATCCAAAATCAGCTGCAACAGTACATAGAGAATTACCACGTGTTCAAGCAGGATTTAGAAGAGGCTGTGTCACCAGGCATATAATTTCTGATGGTAGATGGATTGTGGCTGAAAGTAAAGAATATGAGAAGAATGTTTGTTTATGCTTTATTGACTGCAAAGGCATTTGACTGTATGGATCATAACAAATTATGGCTAACACTGAGAAGAAGAAGAATCTCAGAACACTTATTTGTGCTCATGCAAAGCCTATACCTAGACCAAGAGGCTGTTGTGTGAACAGAGCAAGAGAACACTACATGGTTTAAAATAAAGAAAACTGTGTGTCTTTGTATGCCTATTCAGTCTGTATGCTGAGCAAATTATTCAAGAAACTAGACTCCAAGAAGCATGTGGCATCAGAATTAGAGGAAGACTCGCCAAAAGCCTGAGTTATGCAAATGGCACAACCTTGCTTGCTGAAAATGAGGAGGATTTGAAGTGCTTGCTGAAGAAAGTGAAACACTGCAGCCTTCAAAATGGTTTGCATCTCAGTATCAAGAAAACAAAAATCCTCGCAACTGAATCCATAGGTAACTTCTTCACAGATGAAGAAAAGACTGAAACTGTCAAGGACATTATCTTACTTAGGCCTACAATCAATACAGTTGGATCTGAGGCCAGCTTTAAAAATTAAAAAAAATAACAATTTAAAAAAAATACACTTGGACTGCTAGGAGAACAGACAGGTTTGTCCTTCAGAGGGTGAAACTGGGCTGCTCCTTGAAGGCAAGAATTCTGAAGCTTCTTCTGACATACTTTGGACATGTTGCAAGGAGGGACCAGTCCTTGGAGAGGGACGCCATGCTTGGGATGGTGGGGGGACAGTGCAGGAGAGGAAGACCTTCGATGAGATGGATTGATTCAGTGAGTGGGGTAATGGGTGTACGTGTGTCAGAGACAGTGAGGTTGGCACAGGATAGAGCAGGGTTTAGGGCTCTTGTACATAGGGTCGCTATGAGTTGCACATAACAACAACACCACCACACTTGGATCCAGCAGTCAAGATCAGGAGACATATTATGCCCAGGAAAGCCAGCAGTCAGAAATCTCTCCAAATTATTGAGAAGCAATGATGTTAGTTTGAGGACTGTGTGCCTGATTCAGGCCATGGTCTTTTCAGTCACTTGCTATGCATCTAAGAGCTAGACAAATGAATAAAGATGACAGAAGAAGAATAGATGCCTTTGAACTGTGGTGCTAGAGAAGAGTACTAAGTATCCCATGGACTGCCAAAAGAACAAACAGTTACATCTTGGAGAAGGTGCAGCCAGAGTGCTCCTTGGAGGCAAAGATGATAAAATTTCATCTCACACACTTTGGACATGTTGCTAGGAGAGGCTTTTCTTTGGAGAGGGATATCATGCTCAGAAAGGTGGATGGTTGGCAAAAGAGGAAAACCTTCAATGAGATGATTGACACAGTGACTGCTGCAATGGGCTTGATTGAGTATGTCAGAAATTGTGAGGATGACACAGGATAGGACAGGATTCAGATCTGTTGTTTAGAGGGTCACTATGGGTGGTCAACTTGACAGCACATAACAACAACAACAGCATACATAAAACAGTTAAGTTTGGGGCTTAGATATGTTTTGTCTACAAGAATATTGATAGCTTAGTTAAAACTGTATGTGGTATAGGACAATTGTTCTGTCCTGTGCTCTTTTTTCAAATTGGTTTCCTGACAAAGTTCATAGACATAGTGCTTCATATTCTTCTTCATCTTCATTCACATTGTGTTTCAAATTACAGTCATTCCCATGCATTATGTTTTAGGAAATTAATTACCATGGGGCTTTGCCCTTTATTACCCTGTGCTTTTTAAGACTCTCAGCAGTCCAGCCTCTACTTGCTAAAGCCTGATCCCTTGATCATTATATAAACCAAAATGCCTCTAGAGGGCAGTGTAACTATTCTTTCAAAACTACTGCCAGTTTATTGGCAGCAAAACTGGGATTTTGCTACGATTTTATCTCACAAACAAAAAGGCAACAACTCCTTGGGAAGACATACTAAGGAGTAAGTACATAAAGCACCAACAATACCTGAATTTGAGTGTGCAATTCAGTGTAAATTTTCCAGTGCTATTAAGTGGGATCTTGAAAGTCACTTTGGCACATGCTGTTTTCCTTTCTAAAGGAGAATTCCAGGGTGGAAATCCATGATTTCTGAAGGCACTATGTGCTTGGTATACAGCTTCTGTGTTGTTGGGGATCAAGTATTACGTGGCAGATTATCTTTATGTTTCTGTTCTTTCAGCCACCTAGGAACACACGGCGTTTTCACAAATACTGCATTTGACTCTGGACCTTAAGGTAAATTGTCTATGAAAATACTTTTGAAGGAAACAGAAGGGTGAGGGAAAGAGGAAGAATGTAAATGCTTGACTTATTCAGCATAATCATGTATTACATCTTAGGAGTTCTATTACATTTAGGAGTGCCATCCATTCACATGATTAACCACTAACAAAAATGTTGGGAGTTTGAAGCTATTCAGAGGCATGTTGGAAGAAAGGCTTGACAGTCTACTTATAAAAATAAAAAAGCAGACACTGAAAAATCCTACAGGAACTCACTCTACTCTGACATACATAGGGTTACCCAGAATCAGAACTGACTCAATAGGCACATTTTTTTTTAGCATTGAATATTTAAACTCACTGCTATCCACTCAGTTCTGACTCAAAGGCACCCTCCCCTGAGTTTCTGAGAGTGTAAATCTTTATGGGAGGGGACTGCCTATCTTTATCAAACAGAGCTGCTGGTGGATTCAAACTGCCAATTTACCAGGCCATGAAAGAAACTATGCTGGCCGTAGGGTACAGAGATGGCAGTAAAATGACAATGTAAAGTGACGATACCTATCTGTATAGAAATGTTTTAACAAGACGTTTCTGAATGTATGACATACTCATTAGTGGTTAGTAGATGAGAGTGAGGTTCCCCTCAAGCCCGATATCAGTCCCATTTTGCAACAGTGGCGCTATGCAGTATTTGTTATTTTGTGACTGAGATATTTCATTCAGCATGATGTCCTCATATGTCACCCATTTTGTATAGTATTTCATGAGTACCTTGTTTTTCAGTGCTGCATAGTATTCCATTGTGTGAATATACCAGCTTCTCTATCCATTTGTTTGTTGATGGGCACTTGTGTTGTTTCCAACTCTTTGCTATTGTGAACAAAGCAGCAATAAACATGGGTGTGTATATATCTGCTTGGGTGGCGGTTCTGGTTTCTTTAGGGTATATTCCCTGTAGTGGAATTGCTTATTCAAAAGGCATTTCTATTTCCAACTTTTTGAGAAAGTTCCTTACTGTCTTCCATAGAGGTTGCACCATTTTACACTCCCACCAGCAGTGAATAAGGATTTCCAGTTTCTCCACAGTCCTTCCTTCTTAAGATAATTAATTTATTTTGTCTCATTTTCAGAGATGCCTCCATCACCTGACCACATCATTCAAATTCCTCAGGATCCTGTTTTTAAACATTAGACTTCCTGCTACACTTGACTTCAACCAGAGTGCATTTCTGTAAATACTTGTAAACAGAAGACATGACATTTCCTTTATATGGGCTCTGAAACAGAGTAGAATATTCACACCACAATCCCAAACTATCCAGCATCCCTTCCTGCTCCACCTCTCCTCTGCCTCCAACACAAGCAGCAGAAGTCAGAGGATGTCGTTGCAGCGGTCTGTGGGATGGACCCTGGCCGTTACTTGAAATAATCAGCGGTAACCAAAGCACTTGGAGAATTTGACTGACTAGAAAACCAAACTTTGGAAACATAAAAGTTCCTCTTTCTTTTTGCACTGGAGAACAGCACCCTCTGCTTTAAAGGCAAGCCATGTCTCTAACTTGAAGGAATTCATGTGGGCTTTTCTCTGGTTGTGGGTAGTTGCTGTTTACTAGGCCTCTGCTACTGAGACTGGGTCACCAGAGACTGCAGAGGACCAAGAACCAAGCCTGGAAGTCATGTGCCACTGGGGCCACTGTGGACCTTATCCCTCGTGTTACTCTCACCCCAAGGATCCAAAGATCAAAATTTAAATCTGTAATTAAAAGACTGTTTTCCTACACGTCATGTTCTATGTGATATTTTGTTCAATTAGGTCTTCCTGTGTGCATCACGCAGTTTACTGTGAATGTGGTGCCGAAGTACAGGTGTATCTGTTTTAGCTCAACCCTGCAGTCAGCACAAACCTACCATATTCCACAAAGCGAGCATTAGAGAAGCAGACAAAAAGTCTTTATCACCTGAATGCTCTATAGGAAAGAAACTGTTACGTGTTCTTTAAGTCACTTGTGTAAAGTTGAAATCGCTTATCTGAAAGTTGCAGAGTTAAAGACATCTTTACAGAAGCAGATTGCTTAATCTTTCTCCCTTACAGTGACTGGTAGATTTGAAGCTCCAAGCTTTCGGTTAGCATCCCAGTGATGGATCAACGATGCTATCAGTGCTCCCTATACAAAACCTAGTGAACCAAACGTTCTCTAAAATAAAGTTATTGTGTCTGAAATACAATGATTATGTCAGGCACATTTAATATATGCAAATATGAAGATAAAAATAGTAAGGCCATTTATATCATCACCTACAAAAGTTACTACAATTTTGCAAGAGTTTTTAGAATAACTTAGGCTATTTTGTTGTGTACGGTCAAGTTGGAACAAACCCATAGCTGACCCTCAGGCAGGTTTTCAGAGGCAGTAAATTGTGTGGGAGGAGGTTGCCCATCCTTCTCTTGCCAAGCAACTGTTAACCTAGAAATGTGTGCCTTCAGGATTGCAGCGCAGCTTCCTGACTTTAAAATTCTTCTCCAAGGAAAAAGCCCCACAAAGTAGTAACTATAAGAAGCCCAGGCTTACTGATCTGGTAAAGACTGGTGGAACGCCTGAGACTATGACTTTTGGACACTTTTCAAGTCTAGCACCCAAGCCTCAGCCACCCTCCAGGCTCAACTTTCAGCCAAATAATAGAGAGCTATAAGGTGAGTAGTAACACCAGGGAGTCACGCACTTTTTAGACCAACCTAAAACCCACTGACATCACAGGCGCAGCATCTGTCCAGAGATAAAGCTCACAAAGTAGAAAGGGATAGGAAAGAATGATAAGTAGACAATACAGGAGGAAGTGGGGAAAGTGTTGTTATGTTGAAAAAATTGTTATCAAGGTCACCAAAAAACTAAATGATATATGAATTGTTGAATGGAAAATCAATTTGCTCTGTAAACTTTTAGCTAAATCACATTAAATTTGTTTTTAAATATTCTTTGCTACATTGTCAATAATTGATAACTCCATGTCAGTCACTAGGCAAGTATTGTAGAATAATGAGTGGTTCTCGGTTTTGTCTCCTGAGTCAGAATCTGCATTATGTAAATGCTCTCTGAGGAGTTCTGATGGCTTAGTAGCTTTTGGAACCGCTGATGTAGACAGATAAAGAAGTGTAAGCGACTGTCCCTGCACAAGAAGTTGATAGGTGGGCTCTGGTGTTGCAGTCTATAGGGAGCTGTGTTGTTAGCCTAAAAATGGCATCTCTTGGCAGTTCAAAACTACTAGCTGCTCTGCAGGAAAAGAAAAATGTGCAATCCTCTCTTAAGAGATAGAGCTTCTGAAAATTCCCTGGAGATCCAGGTAATCACAGAACAAGTCATAATGATGCTTCAGATAATACACTCCTCACTCAGATTCTCTATCAGATCAGACTCAACAGCAATGAATTTAAGGCTTTTTTTTTTTTTTGGCTGTTTCTATCTCTCTCCCCTCCATGTTTATAATCTATATGGAGAGACAATAGATATCCACACATTATGCTGCTGTTGGATGGTGTCGACTTGGAGCTGACTCACAACTGATCCTCCAGTGGGTTTTCAGAGGTAGTAAATCTCACAGAAGGAGATTGCCCATTCTTCTCCCATGGAGCAGCAGCTGGTGGGTTGGAACCATATGCCTTTAGGATTGCAGTGCAGATTCTAACCACTAGGCAACTAGAACTCCCTACCCACATGTATGCATTATTTGAATGCATAGTGCTTCTTCTTGTGATTATGTTCCATAGAATCACCTGTGACACATAGTCTCCCTATGCACAATAGCTCTGAACTCTGTCCTATCCTGGGCCAATCTCATTGTCTCTGATATACCTGCTTCTATTACACTAGTCACTGTGTCAATCTATCTCATCCTGGGTCTTCCTGTCCTGCATCGTTCCTCCACTCTTCCAAGCATGATGTCCTTCTTCAAGAACTAGTCCCTCCTGGAAACATGCCCAAAGTATGTGTGATGGAGCTTCAAAATCTTTGCCTCCAGAGAGCTAATACTTAAGAGCTGAGACAACAGAAAAGCCAGCCAGAGCTCAGAATCAGAGAGGTGGGTAGACATCTAGTTGAATTTAGACAGGCAAAGAGGAGGAGAGCAGGCATTCAGAGATGATAGGATATTGTTGTTGTGTACCGTAGAATTGGAACCGACCCATAGCTGACCCTCTAGCAAGTTTTCAGCAGTAGTTAATCACAACGGAGGAGATTGCTTCTCCCATGGAGCAGCTGGCAGATTCAAACTGCATGCATTCAGGATTGCAGCCAGCACAGGTTCTTACCACTAGGCCACCAGAGTTCCCTGAGATGATAGGATAGTTTTAGCAAAGGGACAAAGAAAAGAGGAGGGAAGACACTGAAGATTCTGATATCATGATATTTGGCTTCATGTGAGTTTGTCACAAATAAAATTACAGAAGGTATAGAGACAAAGTCCAAGAGAAAAAACTGGAGACGTGTAGATCCAGGTAATCACAGAACAAGTCATAATGATGCTTCAGATAATACACTCCTCACTCAGATTCTCTATCAAGCACAAAATGAGTTCATAGACCAGTGAGAAACAATCATATCATTCAGGAATGTAAGGAGTCTTGGACCAGGAAAAGAAAATCATACTGATAAACATGTGTTTTTCTAGGTGCCCTACTTATATATCTAACTGTATCCTTTCATTCTCAAGACTAACCTATTGGGAGAAACTATTTTTATATTATCTGTTTTTTGGATGTCAAAACTGAGGTTCAGAGAGGCTGACTAAATGTTCAGGACAATATAGCTAGTTTATGAGTAATCTGGCACTGTTGTTGTTGTTGTTGTTGTTGTTGTTGTTATGTGCCGTCGAGTTGCCTGCAACTCATAGCGACCCTGTGTACAACAGCCCTAA